AGACATGTACGAATGTTGCGTGACTGAAGTGAAGTGTGCAGTGGGAACTACACAATCCTTCCCAATACAAGTCGGATTACACCAAGGATCAGCGTTGAGTCCATTTCTATTTGCCATCATTATGGACTCGCTCACGAAAGATTGCAGAAGGAAAGCCCCCTGGAATATGATGTTTGCCGATGATGTGGTATTGCATGCGAGAGAGAAGCGAGAGCTGGAAGAAAATCTGGAGCAGTGGAGATGCGCTGGAGAGAAGAGGAATGAAGATCTCAAGATCAAAGACTGAGTATATGTGCCTGAATGGGCATCAACTGGGAGTGTGGAAATGTTGCAGAGACAGTTACCAGAAACAATGGCATTTAAGTACCTGGGAAGTACACTTGAGACTGGTGGAGAAGTCAGGGCAGAAGTAAGCCGAAGGATACAATGTGGATGGAACAACTGGAAGATGATGTCTGGTATCCTCTGCGACAAAAGTATACCATCGAAGGTGAAAGGCAGGATCCACATGTTGGTAATCCAACCAGCGATGCTATTTGGTATGGAAACGGTACCCCTGAGTGCCCGTAACACCAAGAGACTAGAAGTGGCAGAAATGAAAATGTGCAGATGGGCATGTGGCCACACATTGAAAGATCACGTGAGGAACGAAGTGATTCGAGGAAAATTGAGAATCACGCACATTACGGAACAGTTCAGGAAAGCCCGACTAAAGTGGTTTGGTCATGTGAAAAGAAGAGACGAGGAGTATGCTGGGCGCAGAGTGCTAGAGATGGCACCACCAGCAAGAAGACGAAGAGGAAGGCCGAAATTGAGATAGATGGACTGCCTGAGAAAAGACCTGGAAGAGATAGAAGCAACAGAGGAAGACGCACTGGACCGGGAAACCTGGAAGAGGATAGCTGCAGCGACCCTGTAATGTAAACGGGACAAGCTTAAAGAAGAAAAAGAAGGTTGTGTTGAGAGGGAGTAGGTGGGAGGGGTGTAGGGGGAATATGAGCTGGAGGGGGTGGATATCGGCAGTCACTTCGAGTGTGGAGGGAGCAGTAGTTGTGGAATTTTGTGTCTCAAGCATATAGTTTTGGATATCTTCCATAGTTTCTGCAGTGGAATTGGTTGGAGAGTTTTGTGAGACAAAGGTTTTCTTGAGGTGGGAAGAGGAGACTGGTGTCTGAGGAGTAAAGGCAAAGGTTGGTGGAGGTGAGTGTGTAGTAGGGGAAGAAAGGGAGGGGACGTTTAGTCTGTCTGCTGCGTGTAGTGCGGGGAGGGATAAGGGACGGTGTTAGGGCTGTAGTTGAGATTGGAGCTGTAGTCGAGATTGGGGTGTCTGGATTTAGAGTGGCAAAAGAATTTGAATGGGGGAGGTAGAATGTAGAAGTGGAAGTGGGGAAGTAAGTAGGTATAAGGGAGGGTGTAGGAACGTCTTGAGGTGGCGGGGAGGGGCAGAGCGAGCGACATTACTAGAGTAGGGAGTATAAGAGAAACCTTGTCGGCGTGCTTCTTGTTTGGCTTCACGTAGAGTGAGGCCATTTTTGTATCCGAGAGTTGCTACCTCAGACTCGAACTTGTAAGGGGGACAGCCTCTATGAAATACATTATGGGGGCCGCCGCAGTTAGCACGTGTGTGTTTGTGCAGGGCAGTTTGATCTGTTGTGACCGAGTTGGGCACATAGGTGGCATCGGTCTATGGAGCGGCAGTGTTTGGCAGGATGTCCAAATCGCTGACAGTTTTGACATTGACGGGGAGGGGGTCAAAGGAGAGCCTGGGGACGGGGAGCCGGTAGAGTTTGAATTGGCGGGGCTATTTGATGAAGGGGCAAGACTCATTGCCTCTAATATGGGTATTACTTCATTACTGGCCATGGGAATCCTTGATTATGTAGGGGAAATAAATAGATCCCTGCATTGGGTCTCAGTCTCCGTCTCCGTCTCCGTCTCCTAAGCCCCCCACGACAACAACGGGGAAGGGATTGGGGGGGGGGGGGGGAAGGGGTGTACGGGGAATATGACTAAGAAAGGATCAATATCTGAGGGGGGTGGGCTATGTTGGAAGGAGTCGGAAGAAGGGGTATAGGGTTATAACCAGGTTGGGCACATAGGGGGTATCAGGCTGTGGAACGTCAGGATGTCCTAGACGCCAACAGTTTTGACACTGACGTGGTGAAGGTTGGTATGGTCGAACACGGAGGGATCCTTCACCAATATAGATTTTAAAGGAAAGGTCATGTCTATGAAAGGAATTTTGGTAGTATTGGTGTGGTTCTTACAATGACCTCTAGGAGGAATGGAGTAGCACTGGACTGATATCACATCACGGTCCTTGAAGCAGGCGAGTAAGTCTCCACAATCAGACCAATCTTTGGTATCGATAGGGCAATTTGCTGGGAAGACGAAGACAGTTCCGGTACAAGTATTAAGGGTTGGATGAAGTTCTGCAGAAATGAGGTTGTCAGAGATATCAGTTGGATTTGTTAATGCTTTAGCTTGGGTTTGAGATGTAAGTGAAACGAGATGGGAATGATCTGGTCGGGTACCGAAAGGGACTCTGCCTACTTGTTTTTGGAGATTGCTGAAAGAGGAGTGCGTTAGCTGGTGGTCCAAGGACGGGGACGTATGGAAGAGGGAGTATTGTTGAGGGGGGTAGCATTACGGAGATGGAGAATACGGCTGTAAGGTAGTAATAAGGGAGGATGGGGTGATTGATGAAGAAGGTTGTGGGGGTAGATGTGAAAAAGTTGAGGAAGTTATGAATACGAATGTCTCCTGGAGACCGAGTCTCGACTTGGGTGGATAATGTACTAGTAGGCATTGAGAGGTGGGTAGTAGTTGCAGTGTTCAGAGTCATAATCAAAGAGCCTGGAGTCGGGGAACCGGGAGAGTTTGAATTGGTGGGGATATTTGATGAAGGGGCAAGCCTCATTGCCCCTAATAAGGGCATTACGTCTTCATTACTGGCCATGGAAAACCTTGGCTATGTTGGGGAAATAAACAGTCTACCCCTCAGGGCCCCCTTCAGGGGTATGGGCTAGACAACTACAACAGGGGAATACCGTGCCCATGATTCCCTCGGGCCATTCTGGACTGGCACCAAGTCAGCCTTTCATCCTTTCAGCATGGCTCTTATACCTTAGAAGTGGATAGTAGAAGGGGTAGGAGAAGGGACGGAAACGAAACAGCAGGAAGGAGAAAAGACCATGCAAAATGTGTCGGCCTTTCATCCAAGCGGTAGGCGGTTTGCGCCCTGTCCAGGCACGAGAAGTTGCCATTGTTGCCCGGAGGTTACTGCTTGGCTGGGCACCAGGGTGGGTAAGGACTAAGCTCTGTCGCATCAGCACTAGCTGACAAGTTGACCAAGTCGACATTTGTCAGCACAGGCCGGGCTCCCTTCATAGCCCAGGCGAGGCTCAGCTTCGCATATCGGACTTATCCTTAGACACTGAAGAGGACTTTGCAGTAGGAGACGGAGTGGAAAATGTTGGGAGAGATGAAGGGGTGCTTTCTGGGGGTTGAGTAATAACCTTGGTGGGTGTTTTGGAATTGATAGAGTTGTAAGCGTCAAAGAGAGGGTGGTCAGGGGTATCAGTGGTCTGAGCCTCGGTCTAAGGAGGGACAGGGGTTGGAAAACCATCAAATTCAAATTAAGATAGGCTAGCTAATTAAGGGGAAAGAATCTTCATTATTGGCTATGTTGAGTTTGAATAAAATGGGGAAAAGAAACGGTCTACCCCTCAGGGCCCCATAAGGGGTGAGGGCTAGGCAATTGACCAAGGGGGATACTGTGCCCATAGCTCTTGGGGGCCTTTCATGACTGACAAAGCCAGCCTTTCCTTTCAGCACAGCTCTCACACCTTAGGAATGGGATAGAAGGGGATGGAGAAGATAGGAAGAAAGGAGAGATGACAAGACCAAGAAAAATTCGTTGAGGCAAGGGACGAGGCCCAAGGTAGGGTGATCCCCTACATCGGGCCTCAGTTTGTCTCCTAAGCCCTCCCACAACAACAAAGAGCAAAGTATTGGGAGAGCTCTGTCTTCTAAGACCATACAACAGTGAGCAAGGGACTGGGGAATGGCTTGTGGTACACCATGTAGACGGACCTTAAAATTTAAACATTCATGCCAATCTATTTTCAATTACATAGAAACTGATTTTCTAAGTGGTAAGAATATTTTTTTCGTAGGTTTTCTGATCATCCTTATTCACTTTTATAATTATACTTGTTCTTCTGAAAACAAATTTCCTATCCATTTTCGTGAAACAGAAAGCCATGACTAATTATTCCCATGTTAACACAATGTTATTAGTTGCTTTTGAGACCAGTGCAGTTGCGGAGAAAGTAAGGACAACTCATGATTACGGTTTAATTATTCTAGAATAATTTTATAGCAATTATATTACAAAGTCATGTAGATGAGACCGATGCAGTGCTATTAAGTTGGTTTATAATGAAGTATGAAATTACAAACAATAAATGAAAGAATGATGATTCATAGTTATGTACTACACCCCTGTTACCAACTACAGATTTGAGACCTCCAAGATAAGTTTTTAAAAATAAACAGGTGCTTGCATTAATAATGAAAAGAATTTTATAGTTTCTACATATTGTGGTTTCCTTTTTCCATGTGAAAATATGAAAAATACTTCATTGTATTCCATCCATGTTATCATAAACATACACTGCATATAACCAAGGGCAACTGAATTTGTTTTACAAAACTTTGTTATCAATGTACATGGTGCATCAATATCAATATATACAGCTTCAACTGTCATTAAGAATACTTTTCATTACTTCGAGTAATACAATGGAGACCATAATACAAATTACCACAGTAGTGAAACAAATGTCATTAGATGTTTGTGATTTACCAAATGTCAAGTCATGAAACATGGATGGAAGCATGGGGGTGTGGCACAGTATGTTAAGGTGTAGCAACGCTCATGATACTGACCAGTACTTAATCTTCCAGGAGATAAACAGGGTAAGAATGGGGAATGA